TCGATTCTCGGGTTGTTGGGGAGGATCCTGTAAACCTCCGACATCTAATCACTGGCCTCCAATGGACAACACTAGCAAACCCTCTGGGGAAGATAATTTCCAGTACCAAGCCCGGAGATGTTCCAGGCAATCTTTACACACTTTGTCATTTCATCTTTACAATATCCCTATGACGAAGGTGTTATCCCCATTTTACAAATGGAGTAACTGATGGTTTGGGTTAGGTGACCTCCCCAAATCGTTCAGTTTCAAAAAAAGAAAGTGGAAATATTTGAATTTAGGTTTAGCTCACAGTGGGAGGATACAGGGCGAAAAGACCAACGAGTGATAACAGCCTGCCACAGTCGAGGGAAATAGCCTGGAGACAGATTGATGTGAACTGCCCTGGAAAGGGCAGCGTCTATGCAGAACCACAGTGCGTAGGATTCTAAACCAAGGGTGGCTGGGAATAATTCAGAGAAATTAAGCCAGATGTCTTTTGTTTTGTTTGTTAGATTGCTGAAGACTCTAGCGAGCATCCCTCTTTACAGGTCACTATTGCTTTTCTTCAGCCATTTGACTCAATAGGTGTGCTCTTTGGTTTAATCATTAAACAATGCCATTGAAGTTTCAGCAATTTGCTGGTTGGAGCACATATCAACCCATAGCCACAGGATGGCAGTGTTTCCTAATGAATGAGAAAGCATCTACCTAGAAAGGAAAGAAAAGTATAGCTCAAAAGTTGTGATGCTGGAAGGCTAAAGAGTGCACAGATTTTCAGAGGCTCACCATTGTGGGTAAGGCCCACAATCGTCAAGGGCAAGCCAAGCTACTTTTCCATCCAACCCTCCCACCCCGGGGAATTAGCTTCTTCCCTACTCCGGTCTACACTTCTCAATTCTAGGTTTTAGCATACATTGTTTTTCTTTGATGAAATGCCCTCGTACAGGAGGATTTGAAGGTTTGAGGTCCTGCTACATACACTTTAGGAAAGTGCCCTCACTGGTTTCACCAGCCAGGGGCTGACTTTGTGAAAGTCACTGAGGTGGTGGAGCCTGCAGGTCACCAGGGAGGCAGGGAACTGGTTTTCCGAGAAGGCTAGTGAGGAACCAGGCCAACCGAAAGGAATTGCTTTCTCCATGGTGAAGTAGAAATATAGGCAGGGAGGAGACGGGGGCCTCTAGGTCTGGGCTGTACCAGGTAATGCTGTGCACTTTGGCAGGATTTGAGCCCCAGAAGCCTGTAACAGCACATTCCTCTTCTACCCTATGTTCTTAGCCAGAGTTGTGTGTTGATCGTGGAGTTAATGCAGCTTTGGAAAAATGGACTCCCAACAAGAAATACTGAGCCTGACTTTCAGCTCTATGTCTTAGCTATCTGATGGCAAACAAGTATCTGTTTCCTCATTTTTAAAAATGGTTATAATAATAGTTACTTGATAGGATTGTTAAAAGGATTAAATTTGTCATGGTGTATGCATGTGAAAGAGACTTAGAACAGTGTCTGAATGTGATGTGTGCTAGCCCCATGGTTACCACAGTAACTCAGGGCAATTTAACTGGACTCTATAGCATTGTTTCCCTTTGCCAGGTGGCTACTTCAGACTCAAACTGATCTAGTAAGTTCAAGGTCAATGAAACACATTAATCCAGTGAGTTTTAGTAGAATCACATGGGTTAGAAAATATGAATATTTATAGGAAAATTAAATGGAAATCGTGACACCTTTTCTTTGGGGTGGGGGTGGGCTCATGAAGCCCAGGCTGACCCCAAGTTCACTTCGTAGCCAAGGATGACTTTGAACTTCTGCTGCCCCCCACACACTGGGACTACAGGAAATCCCCTTTGAATCAATATATAATCCCACATCTGACAGTTTCTCCTTCCAAGCAAAACATATGGTCATTGTCAGAAGTTCTGTCTATTGTGAGGGTTTCCCTTCACCTGTCCCCTTTAAGGTTCCCTAGTCCCAGACAGATTGGAATGCTGCGGCAGCCCACTTCTGGGTGGTGCCTGCACAGAGTACCGAACATCTGTAAACCCGGGCCTAGTCTTCTCTTCCTTAGTCAACACACCATAAGGCACATTCCATGAAGCTCAGGCACAGAAAGCATTGCAAAAGGAGTAGAAATCAGAGACATTTGGGCAACTTCTTCATGTAACTTGCTTGTGCCTTCAGGACTTGCTCAGGCCCAATTACATATATACCACTTCCATTTGGTAATGGATTGCAGCTGTGTATATCCAATTCTGTGGCTTGGTGGGGCAGATAAAATGGA